CGCAGGCGCAGGCGCCGCGGGGCCACGTGACTGTCCGGCGCGCGTCCGGCGCCGCCTCGGCGGGGTCGGCGATTCGGGAGTGCGGCCGGGGGTAGCGGCTGGCGTCCCCAAAACCCCCAGCCCAGGGCGGACGTCAGAGGGCCCTGGACGTCGGAAACGGCTAGAAGCCGAGTCGGGGACGGGCTGGGCACCGCTAATCGAAGCCACCACCGCGGGCTTGGGAACCACGTTTATTGAAAAAGTAAAAAGTGTCACCGTAAAAAAGTCACCTGGAGACAAAGCCAGGCCAGAGAGCTGCAGGGGCGGAGGGGGTGCGCCGGGGCCGGGGCTTGGCACCCGGGGCAGGTAAACGCCTCCCTTTCTCCAGGGAGGGCGCCCCGGTGCCAGTGCCGGCTCAGTCCATTTTGGTGCCTTTGAAGAGCTCCACCAGGTCCTTGAAGTCCGGGTCGATGAGGTCGGAGGGCAGGTCGCCGTCGTCATTGGCCGCATCTCTGTCTGCCCCCAGGGAGATGAGGTACCTGGGTGCAGAGCACGGCCCTTGGTGAGCAGCGGGCAGCCTGGAGGACGCCCACCGCTCCAGGGCAGTGGCTGGGCTCTTGAGGTCAGCCGCTTGTTTTTTCCAGGTGGGGGGGGAGTAAGGAGAAACCTGACCCTCTGGAAGCCGAGGCCGATTTTTCCACGGTTTGGTCTGAGGAGGGGAATGGGGGAGGGAGAGGCTTCCAGGAGTCGGTGGCGTTCCTGCAGGGTCACTTTATTGGGAATAGGATAGAGCCCGCAGCCCCAGGCCCCTCTCACCTGGCGATGGCCGGGTGCCCGTCACTGCAGGCAATGTGCAGGGCTGTCCAGCCAGCCTCGTCGCGCTGGTGGATGTCAGCCCCGTACTTGACCAGCAGCTTCACACACTCCAGGTTCCCAGAGAGAACAGCTTCGTGCAGGGCGGCCAGGCCTGGGCAGGGCAGGGTCGGGGGGTCACAGTGGAGGCCAATGGCCAGCCCCCTGCCGCCCCACAGATCCTTGGCGAGCACCTGCTGACACTTACCCGAGGGGTAGATGGTATCCAGGGCGACCTTCCGGGCCCGGATGAAGCGCCCCACCTGCCCCAGGTCACCCTGGCGGATGTGGTCCAAGAACAGGACATCGTTTGGGAAGTGGACACTGCGATCTGCCAGCATCCGCCGGCGCCGCTGCTGTGGGCTGTAGCGGGTGTAGCGGACGGTTCTGCTGGGCATGTTGGAAGGCTGTAGGGAAGCTGCTCCTCAGGAGACCCTCCTGAGCCAGGGGTGAGGAGAGTGCCTGCGCCGAGCAGAGGTGCGTGCGGGCTGCTCTATCTAACAAAGCTCTCCCTGGCACAGCGATTCTGGTGCTTCTCTGTGGCAACGCACTTCCCATTATATAGTTCCGCGGAGCTATATAAAGCTGCGCCGTCATGCCTGCTGCCGCAAGGGCCTGAAACCGAGCCGTCCCTCCCTGCCCAGGATCGTGTTTGGTAGCTCATCTTTCAACCCACCTGTCGCTGTGACCAGCCAAAGAGGTCAGATCCTTTCTGGCTACTGCTCCTGCCCCACAGACGGACCCAGCAGGTGCCTCACAGAGAGTAGAAAAAGGCATTGGAAGGACAAGGCCCAGAAGGAAGGCCAGGGGCCTGGGCAAAGCCTGTCCAAGGTACCCGACAGCCCCAGAGACTGAGGGAGAGGACATGAAGGACATGGTCCACCTCCCCATCCCAACCTGGGAATCCAGGGGGCTCCCACACCCCTGATGAGCCAGGGTGCTGAGCACGAGTGAGGAGACCGAGGCCCAACCCGTCTCCTTCTTGGCTGCTGTCAAGTTGGCCCCACACACGACAGAACGAAATGCTGCCTGGTTGTACACCATCCTCACAATAATTTTGGATCAGACCATTGGGATCCATAGTTTTCACTGGCTGATTTTCGGAAGTAGATCACCAGGTCTTTTTTCCTAGTCTTAGTCTGGAAGCTTCTCTGAAAGCTGTTCTGCATTGTAGCAACACGCAAGCCTCCACTGACGGGTGGTAGCTGCGCTTGAGGCGCGTTGGCCAGGAGTTGAATCCAGGTCTCCCACGTGGATGGTGACAATTCTACCACGTGTCAGTTTGCACCTTCCAGCGGGGCCTGCTTCACCACCTGCTGTTTTCCCAGAACTTGGGCCTTGAAAGAGCTGCCCTTCTGCTCAGAGCTGCCCCAGCTCCCAGGTTTAACTCCAAGTTCTCCAGCTGTGACCGTGCGCAGCTGCCCAGCCAGTCCCTGTTCCCGTGGAAGCCTGCTGCAGGCCCCCACACTGCAGGTTCCCCCTGCCCTGCATGACCCCTCCCAGTTCTCAGTGCCTGGCACTTCCAGTTGACCTCCTTGCACTTAAGACGGCATCCGGTCTGCCCTGAGGACAGGCTGTCATGTCCCACCTGGCCCAGCGCGATGTACCTGTGGAAGGGTGACCGGGGAACTTTAGGAAAACATGTCCCAGCAGGCTTTGTGTCCCAAAGGGCTTTGCTCTTGTAATAACACCAAGAAGCGGGGCCTACATGGCCAGGCTCCACGCTGCTGGTGTGCTGTGTGAAGGGCCAGCAGGTGGGACAGGCACACAGGGAGCCCAGGCATTAACCGTGAGTTAGGGAACTTGAAGCTGGTAGCTGGAATGAGGGCAGACTGGCCCCTAGGGACAAGAGGTGCTGCTGGGAGGGGCCGGTGTTTATAGCCACCTGGTCAGCAGGCTTGTGCCACCAGGCTGGTTCTGATCCAACAGAACCAAATCAACAAGCACGTTAAGATGCCCTCGAGGCTCAGAGCCTCGCGCCAAATGCTTGGGGAGAAACAAGCTGACGAGGGAGGCCCCCTGCCCTGGGTGGTGGTCTGTCCCCACCCCTCTGGCACGGCCGGGCACAGTACAACAGCTCTGGGGGGCCACCTCCCAGACCCAGCTCTACAGAGACCCTCACCCAAGGAGGTGCCCAGTGTCCCCTAATTTCCGGGGTCCCAGAAGCAGGCACTGATCAGGCACGAATCAGATGTTGGTCACTTGGGAGTCAGGTGCCTTCTGGCTTGTTTACCCGGAGCCCGAAGTGTCTCACTGCAAACAGAAGACAGAATTTCCTTTGCTGTGAAGATTCTTTTCTTAGGTTGTGGAAAGTTCTGTCAGCTGCCACTCCCCCCGAGGATCAGGTGAAAACGCTGGCTAAAGCAAGCGGCCAGGAAGTGGGTCTGTTCCTGGAGGGGCCGGGCCTCTTTCTATGGTCGGTTCCAGCAAGCCCCTCAGGAAAGGCCTGTCGGGTGACCCCGGAAGATCATCCAGTCCATTCTGTTAATGGGGAGCTCAACGTTTTGGCTTTGAGGTTTGTTTGATCAGAGAAGGGACTGTCCCCAAAGCCTTACCAGGCACAAGAGAGCTCTAGGAAGGTACTGTGCTTTTTACTGTAGCAGGGGTCGCCACGGAGACGGCTATCATCTAGATGAGAAACTCTGAAGCACCTTATTTCGAGCCTTTTCCTGGGAGCCAGCCATCGGTTCCTCACCTCGGCGGTTGGCGTAAGCGTCTCGTGCAACGTGAAGTCTGAACAAAACCTGTATTTACGTAGCTCTGTCCCTGGCCTTTCTCGGTCCCTCTGAACTTATGAAGCAGCCTGCTGTTGGTTTCCGTCAAGCCAGTTCTGACTCATGGCAATCCCCTACGTGCAGAATAGAACTGAGCTCCATAGGGTTTTCAAGGCCATGACCTTTTGGAAGCAGATTGCCAGGTCTGTCTTCCGAGGTGCCTCTGGGTGGGTTTGAACTGCCACCCCTTTCTCTAGTCGTTGAGCGTTTAACCGTTCGCACCGCTCAGAGACTCCCTGTGAAGGGGCCTACTTTGCACAAATGTAACTACTTTCTAGAGGACAAGGCAAGCTAACACAGAAGTTTACCATCCAGCTTTTAAAACAGCACCGAATGCTGCATGCATAGAAAGGCCTGTCGGGAAGTAGGGTACAGGGGGGGCCACGGGGGGCGGGGAGTGAGCCCGGCCCAGCAGCCCCGAGGCTGGAGGGACCCCGAGAGTCACACTCAGGCCTGGCAGTGTTCTTGGACTCCAGGGCGTGCTTCCTGCCACCTAAGAAGTGAAGAGAGAAGTCCTGCTGCTAAGCTTTGACTACCGGGCCAGAGCCTCTGCAGCTGCCTCGCTAATCCCCCCCACTGCTGGCTGGGTCAGGCACCTCTCCACACCTCCCCACAAAGCCAGTCCCGAGTGCTCGGTCAGCTGCCTGCAGAAGGGCGAGGGCTCTGTGACTGTCCCTCCCGGAGCATGTGCTGCCGTCGGGCAGCCTGCCTGGCCCGCCTTATTCCAGAGGTGACTCCCACACAGCTGGCCGAAGGGCCCACACTGAGTACACGGTGGGCCTGCCCAGCCCCGCTGTCACCTGGCTGTCCCTTTGTTCGAGGTCCCTCATCCTCTCCTCCGGGGACCAGAGTGTGTGGCCCTGGGCTTTGTCTTGGATTTTCGGTGTCCACCTAAACAAGCTCTTTGCACAGGATAAGCATCCCCACGTGCCGGCAGGGTCCAGGAGCCACACGCTGCTGGCCTGGGAGGCAGACTAGCCAGCAACTATCCCCACACAGTCCCCTGGAAACCGGCCACGGGACACAGACAGGGAGGAGCTGGGATGGGTTTTCCCAAGTGGGGAGGTGCCGCAGAGGCTCAGAGGGCATGGAGAGGGGGCGCAGTCTGCTGGCCAGAGCGCACAGCATCAGGCCATGTAAAGCCAGGGGCGGAGTTGGTCCAGTCAGGGGCACCAGGTTCTACAAGGACTACAGGGAGGAGCGTCCTCATTGTGCTCCTGCTGTATACTGCACGCCCGGTCATCAGGAGCAGGCCTGCAGTGTGACCACCTGGACAGCAGGCTGGAGGGCTTCGGGGAGGTCGGGTCTCCGGGCGGGGAGGTGACTGTCTCCCACGGCTGCCCTGAGGGCTGAGATGTGGCACCTCCATTGCTGTGCCTGGTCACTGGCAGCGCGGTGGCCCCGTGACATCCAGGGGCACTCAGCACGCAGGCATCAGGCCCTGGGAATGGACAATGTCCTACCCCAGGATGCAGTTGATACAAAAGCATTGAGGTGTGAGGGGTCTGCTGGAACACCAGGGCTCAGAGACCCAGCTACATGCTCTGCTGACTTCTTAGGGCCTTCTGTGAGCATGGTGGCTGAGCGTGGCGGCCTCCCTGCTATCTCGCCCCTCCCCTGCTTCCTTCCAGGGGTGTTGCCTGCAGCCTCCCCCTCACCTGGGCAGACAGAAGCGGGGTGCAGAGCCTTCCAGCTCTTCTCTGCAGCCACCTTCCTGGCCCTCAGTGTTGCCTGGTGGCCCTAAGGCCCAAGAGGTGTCCACTGCCACGGGGTGGGGAATGGGGGGGAGTGCTAATCCAGACCATCGACCATGACCCACGTGGCAGCAGCCTTGTCTGGGAAGCTGGGCTGGATTCTGTTTGTCTCTGCAAACCGACAGCAAGCGCAGCTTTTAGGAGTCAAATTACATTTTAAACAGTAGGCGGCTTCGTATTTTAGTATCATATCAGTCCATCCTTTTTTATATGAAGGTTTGGGTAGCAAACACACCAACTTGTTGATTTCACTTTTTTGAAGCTGCAATCAGACTAGGGGAGTGGCCGCGGTCCCTGCTGCAGGCCCAGCGTCCAGGGCTTCAGTCACGAGTGTTGTCAGTGCGGCAACTGGATAGCCAGGGAGTCAGCAGCACACGCTGGGCCAGGCGGCCTCTCTGATGCCCGACCTTCTGCCTGGTAATGAGGCAATGCACAAGCAGCTACCCTCCCCAGAACACACTGAGCTGCAGGTACCTTTCTGGGGGCGTCACCTCTGAGAGCACTACCACAGGGACCCAGCCCCAGGCCCCCTTCTCTCCCTGGCTCAGGGTTCCGCTCAGCTCCACGGGGCAGGGACAGGTCACGAGGCAGGGACAACGACAGGTAGTAAAATCTTGACTTTATTTGGCCAATGGGTTCAATTCCAATATTGGGTAGAAATGCCCGAACTGTCGATGCTTGACTCGCCGGTCACCCGGCCAGCCCTGCTCCCAGCCTGGGAATCGAGGTCCTGGTTTGTGCCTCGGTCGGCCTCAGGCCGCCTCACAGGGCAGAGGGTCCGGCGTCGCAGAGCTGGGCCAGGAGGGGGAGGGGCACCACCCAGGCCCTCTGAGCCGAGTGGCAGCTCCTCCCGTGGGGACCCACCCTCTGCCAGAGATCCGGAAGTCTCCGTTTAACCAAAAAACAAAAGAGCCACGCTCGCTTGTGGCCACACTGGCACAAGGTGGACAGTGTCCGTGCCCAGCCTGGGTGGTTCCCATGTCGGGGACAGACTCCCAGGGAGGCCCGGCCGAGGAGAAACACACCCTGACACCGGAAAACGTGTAACAATCCCACAGGGAGAATTCCTGAGAAGCAATGGCATAAACCTCTACAGGAAGGAGCATCGCCCACGTGGGATTGCCAAACATTTCAGCGAGTGTGCACTTGGGACAGATACCAGGTACAAAAGTACATCACAATGACAAGAGGCGCTGGCGACAGATCCTTTCCAAATGAAGAGCCAGAGAAGAGGTGGGGAGACGGACATGTTAGGGGAAGCATGAGAGGTCCCTGGATTTCGGTCGCTGCCCCTTACAGGGGGTTCCTGGGGTCTCCAGAGGCACCGCTGCCAGGAGTGCCGCCCCACGGTGTGGGCATGTGGTGTCCAGGCCGCCTCTCCGGCCTCACAGCTCGTCCTTCACAGCTTTCTGGTCATCGTCTTCCTCCATGTCTGGCTCTTCAGCCTCCTCCAGATCTTCCAGGTCCTGGGTGTGTGAGAAAGGGGGGCAGAGAGACCCATTAGCACCAGTGGGGGCGTGGACGGCCACAGCGCTGGCCTAGCCACTGAGGGGACGTGCAGCTTCTTGAGTGGATGGTGTGGGGGCTGGGGGGCGAGTGCTGCCACCAGGTCCCTGGCAGATGGCCAGGAGGTACACCCCACCCCCAGCCTGGCACCACAGAGGTCCCCCCTCTGGCAGTGAAGACCACTTGCAGAGAGGACCCAGCAGTCACCCCGGCTTGCAAGTCACCCTGCCAGCCCCAGGGCCCTGAGATGGGAAGACCAACACCATCGACCTCTCCCTGTGTCTGGGCCTGCGCTGGGCGGCCACAGAGGGCTTCCTCAGGGCTGATCTCTTCCCACCCAGAGAAGACCTGCTGAGCACCCAGGTGTGTTCATGTTTCAGGAAAGAGAAATCGTTTCACTGCTTAAATGGCCTCCAGGACGCAAACTCAGGCCCCTGAGCAGGACAAAGGCACCCGTGAGGGGGTCCTCTCACTGTTCCCTGCCTCGGCCACCCTGCAACGTCCCCCAGCATGGAAGACAGGCCTGAAGGGAGCACCATGATGCCCCACTGCTCAGCAGGGCACCTCCTGTGGCACGAGGCGCAGCGGCCGAGGGGCTGAGGACAGTGGGTCACAGTCGGCAGAGAGAACCACGTGAGACTCCAGCAGTGGACACCAGTGTCTAATGCCACGTCCAGAGCCACCTCCCACAATGTGGGTGAGGCCATCCTCGCGACTAGGTGGGCAGGGCCTGAACACGCAGACACGTGCCCCGACAGCAACACCAGCTGCACGCCCGGCAGGACCACGCGGGCACACCCTTCACCCAGCCCGTGGATCCAGGGTCGGTGAGAATTAAACACTTACGTCCTCGTCCCCTGCCCCGTCCTGCCCGCCACTCTCCAGGAACTTCTTAAACCCTTCCAGCGTCCGCTCCCCATTGTAGTCAATGACCTGCAGAGACGCTGAGGATGAGGTCTGCCCGCCCGCCCCAGGCCGGCCACAGCAGCTC